TCTGTCATCGGCTCACAGTGCATCAGACTTCACAATTGGCCTCACTCTGAAATAAATTACAAAAGCTAGATTTTGTTTGAAATTCACAATTTTACTTTTGCTGGCCATTTTGACTCTGAGAGTGAATTATCACTTAAACATGGCTTACACAGTTTATCATGGAGCTAGCAGTGCAGCATCCCTCTCTCTGTGCTTCCTACTTGTTCCACCTCTTGTTATTGTAGCAGCTTCATTTATTTTAGCATATTTAATGCTTGCATATTGCATTAAGTCAGTCCTAGGAAACCAAAATAATGAACAAAAATGAGCCCCAGATTAGACCTGTTACAATAGAAGTGCTTGTTAATGGCCCCTAGCTCCAGTAGGCACCATGCTCCTGCTTGTGTAGTATTGTGTCAGACTGCTGCTTGCTTGCTACTGATGAGATGATGATTTTGTTGTACACACAAAGATATGGTGAACATGTTAATATGATGTGTCTAACGTATTTACTCTTTTTGTTTTCTTTCTTGTTTTGCCTCTTCCCAACACACCTCTCTCTCTGACCACGCACCTCTTCCTCTGTCTTGTTGATATCCCTCTGTCTATGCGGCTGGGCAGGGCATCGCCCCTAGTGTCATGGCTCCCCTGCCAAAGCGGGCTGCCCTGGAGAAGGCCAACGGGGCCTCTGCTATGTTTAACACAGGCATGCTCCAGTACCAACAGGCCCTCGCCAGCATGCAGTTTCAGCAGCAGGCTGCTTTCCTCCCATCAGGTATGCCTCCATAGCAACGTTCTGGCTCAGGCCACAAGCAAGACCTGGGGCAGACTTTGCTCTGTCTCTGCTTGGCTAAAGCAGGGCAGTACAGTTTAGCTACATCGCCATCAGGCTTATATATGTTCTTTAAGCTGTGACACAAAAGACATGTGGCAGGCACAAAGGCATGCCTATAAAGAAGTGTTTCACATCCATATTACTACATATACTTGAACGTAACTTACATATAAATGAGCTGCATTAGTAGTAGTAGCAGACTACTCTGGTTTGGGCTTGGGTTAGGACTAGGCTTTGGTTTGGTGACAGACATTACAGTGGTTGATTCCGCTTGTGAGTTAACTCTGTCTACATTGTGTATAATATTTAACATGATGTGCAGAACCATGACCACAGGCGTACTACTGTACTAGACACTACACATTAACATGCTTTACATAGATATACCTTCATTTCATTAGCAGATTGCCTCAAGATGAGTTCACAACTGCGCTTTTTTCCAATCACTGATGACTATCCAAAATATATTAATAATTTGTTTCCCACCTTATCTCTCCCCTTACTCTAACGAACCTTGTGATGGGCTGTTTTGATTTCTCTTCCCTATCCAACCCACTTCCTGTTGCACTGCATGATGGGCAGGCTCAATATTGTGCATGACACCCGCAGCCAGTGTTGGTAGGTTCCAGCTTTCCTTCTTTAGTTCAATATAACTTCATGTCTGTAATAGTAGAGATTTGATACGTTTCTCTTAAAGTATTGATATAAGAAATACATATTTATGTTGTACATTGTAAATATGACAGCTGATCTGAAGCTGTTATTTTCATTTGTACAATACACTGATATTGCTTGCTTATTCTTAACTGGGCTCCTGGCTGGTCTAACATGACATCCGTTAAAAACTGAGGGAGTTCAATTGTAACCCTCCCCTTTATCTCCTCTGCCACAGACCTGTGAAGTCTGGTATGTAAAAACACCAGTTATTTACAAAAGTATAATATATATTAAGTCTTAAATAATTAAAATTATGCATTAGTATTACTAATAATGGCACAGTCCAAATGTAATGTGGGCAGAGGTGTGAAAAGGAGCCAGTTAAATGAACCCCTCCCACCCCTCTAAGTCCTTGCCTCATTTGCCTGGTGTGTATGTGGCTCCACTGCTCCTCTGTGTATTTATGCTTACATGATTTTCCCTCCAAAAAGTTCCCATGATGCACGGTGGTACTCCGGCCACTGTGTCTGCAGCCACCACATCTGCCACAAGCGTTCCCTTCGCAACTGCCTCCACCAATCAGGTTTGCACCTCTACCGCCTCATTCTCTGTCAGTGTCTCTTAGACTCTACTTCTTATGATGTCTGTTAATGCACATGAATGACCAGGGGTGCTTGTGTCTCACAGGGGTGGGCTGGGTAATGGCCGTACTCCCTCTTGTTGGCCTTCACAAGTGTTTATCCATACACGTAGATGTTCAGACACCACTTTCCTACACACATATACTCTCTTTTTGGGGAACAATACTGTACTGCATTTTATGTCTGTCCTCATTGTAACTTAGATTTTTGTCCTTTTCCATTTTGAGGACTCTTCCTTAACAAAGTTGACTACCAACGAATACATGCAATTGGTATGTATGAGGTAGTTTATTCTGACATTTTTAAAGCCATCTGCACAGCTTGTGCAAACGTTGCTTTCTGTGCCCTTTGGTGCTTGGCTTTTTTCCTTTTTTGTCACCGCTTCTAGCACGTAAAGACTAGCTTTACCATGTTTTTGTTTCTAGCTAATTATACAAAAAATATTTGCAACGTTTTGATTTTATTCCATTTTGTAAGCTCTTTGCAGAACTTCACAATACCACTGACACAGTGGTGCAGATATCATCATGTTAAATTCTTGATCCAGAGCCAGTTTTTTTTTCTGAATTTCACTGAGGTGTGCAGGTCAACAAAATGGAGGACTTTTGCATGGGGAGCCACCTCACTGACAGCCCCCTCCTCCTCTCATCTCCCTTTTCTTACCTTCCCTCTCTCTGTTGCTTCCTATTAACATCTACACTATGCCAGATCTGAAGAAGATTATTTGTATTCTGTGTTGTCAACGTTTTCAGCAATGAACTCATCTTAATGAAAAAGGGTGTGGTTACAAGTGTGGACTCTCTGAGGACCATTAAACTTCATCCATCTTTGTTTTTCATCTTCAGATTCCAATAATATCTGCAGATCATCTGAGTAGTCACAAGTACTTGACTCAAATGTAGTTCCTCTAAAGAACAGTGAGTTTCTTAATTGATCTATGCATTTGTAACAAGGAAGATCTTTATGTTCACAAGTGAAATGCTTTGTTTTACAGATCAAATGAATGTGGGCTGGCACCGTCCAAGCCAAACAAATTCAGCCTTTATGTACATATTCAGAATGTCAAACAATGGGACAGGAGGGTCTGCCATCTCCAAACCAGCCCATGACGATGGTCTCATCACACGAGTCAACATCCCGAGAGCAACACTTGATCTGTGCCATCCGCCCACTTAGAGAGGAGTGTCAAATGTAGTGTCCAGCAAAGAAAGAAGGAGGTCTGGAGCCTCAGTCACTGTGTCTCAGAGTGAGAACGGCCCATGTTACACCTCTGTGTTTGAATTATTCTCGTTTCTGCACGCGCAGGTCATTAATGTGGCTGCATAGCACCACATTGCTGGTACGTTAGTAGACCAATTTTTTTTCCCTTTTATATTTGTTCTTTTTTTTGAATAGCCATATTTCAGAGTTTGCAAATGAAATGTAAACATGCACCTTGAATTAGAATTCTAAACAATAATAGGCACAATAATTTAACAGGAATTTAATTTGCCAAAATAATTGTACAGTATTGTAATTTTATGGCTAGTGAAACTAGATGTTGAAATGAGGGTCTTGGACATATGAATGTTCTGGGTAAACCAACATACCTGTGTACCTTGAAGCACAGCCAGGCTTTTCTTAACTTGTGGTGTGCCATCAAGGCCATACAGCTAACCCCGAGTGTTATCTCACCAGTGTTATTTGTTTACCGAAGGTAAAGTTTTGTATGGCTTTTGTATTATTTTGGTTTTATTATGTCCTTTTATGTAATTTTTTTTTTTAACCTTCCTCTGGTTTCATCTAATCAGTTTTAGAAGTTTTAAGGTTTAATGTCATTGATGTTTTCTTGTTTTTATTAATAACTAGAGGGTGTTTTGTTTATAGAGAGAAGTCCATCGACTCTAAAAGTGGAGGGTGTAACTTTAGTTGTATTACAGTGCCCCCTCTTCTGAAGAGGACTTTTCCAACTGTGTCTGAGTGCAGCACTGTTGAGCCATGTGTTGATGGAAAAAGAACTTTATATTAGGTCATCTTCACCACATGTGCACTTGATGAATGTTTATGTGGATTCCCTTTTCAACACCGCTCCACCTGAGCTTGTCTGGGGAATCAAGGCCATTGCCTTGTTTTTCCATGAAAGTTCTTAATCACAAAGGCTCTAGATCTGAGTTTAGATACCAAAGCACAGTTTTCTTGTCACATTTGATAGACATTACACAATTTAAATGCATTCATTGCTCCTTCAATTCTTAGTTGATGATCACTTGCCTTTCTCGTGTTCACAGAGGTGTGTAGTGTGTCTTTACAGATTGTAATGTACCTAACAAAGCCTTAGATTACTGTTTATGGGCCTCAGCCCACTCCAATGTAATTTTTATCATATGCAGGTTAAATACACCAATGATGTTTTATAGTTTCCTCACACATAGCTTATAATTTGTTTTTCTCTTTGTGTAAAAGTAACAATTACTCTTAAATCTGTGTTATGTACTACTTAAGGATTTGAATATTTGAGGTATCTAGTTATAGATTGTTTCTTTTTGCCTTACTATATATTACTTGACAACATTGATATAGCCGTTGTAGATTTTAAGGTAGTTTGACATTCATAACTTTTTTCATATACAATATAGATTATAATCTGTTGACTTCATTCATATAGCTGGATGTCTTTTCAGTTGATGTTACATAGTCATTGTCAGAGAATGTTTGCTGAAGAAAGACATTTTTGGATGCAAAGAAAGATATGTTTTTATCAGTGTAGACAAACTATGTTGAAATCATTTTTGGTTTTCCATGTAACATGTTTGAAAATGTATTGGAAAATAGATTATCCATGTTTTAGGGTAAAACTTCTTTTTTACTGTATCCATTTCAAAAAGATGTGTATAAGATAATGTTTGTTTTAAATATTTCTTAAGTTTGCCCTGAATGTCAGGCCAAAATGAGCAGTGAGATAGACGGGTGTTTGGATGTTTGTGGATGGTGAGATTAGGAGAGAGAACGACTTTTCCAATGTGGTCAAGTCCGACATGCTGCAGACGATGAGTTCTAACCTAAGGGAAGAAGGTTGACTTTTTGCACTTCTGTATATAGTCAAATGAACAGAGAAAATGTGTATCATATTGAGATATTATTTTGAATAAAAAAGAGCTATAATTATAAGGAATTTTGTTAGATTAATTTAAATTCTTAAATTAGAAGACCAGCTAAAATTGCTTGCAAAGAAGGGCACTAGTTTCTTGGCCAATGCATTCAGAGAAAGCTATGCGCTTTTTGTCTTATTTTATCTGCATCTGTTATTGCCAGGGAATGTTATATGGGATTATGCCCATGTCATGCTAACTTCACCCTTGTAGGATGACATATCCACTGATGTCCAGTCTCAAAACCTGCATACTTGCGTAGTTTGATTTTATTGCATGTAATATACACACATTTACAAAAAGCTACTCAAATATGTAAGGAAGAAATACATGTCAAGAATACACAATACAGTATGTAACATCCACATTAATGGGGAATTTTGTTTGAAAACAAGTCGTTTTCAATGAGAAAAGGCTACTTAAACATTGAGAATAAAGACTGGCATTCGTCCACCACATTCGGCACAGTAGACGTTGTTTCTTCTGACACCGCTGTGCACTCAGCAGGCAAGGTCACCACCACACCAAAAATATTTGGCCAATTAGTTGTTCAAATGAATGTAACAGTAACTGATGTCTGCGTGACTTGAAGCTGCTGTGTTGATGCTAGAACCAAAGCACCATTTTGTCCAAACCAGATATTTAAGGTTCTCCTCCCTGCTGGGGGCACATGGCCATGCTTTGTTAACCGCTTCTTCCTTGTAAGTGCAACCACCAGTTATAAGTATTTGCCACAAATGCCACACAATAATGTATAACTATTCTGTCTTCAGATTTGTTTAATGCACATTTTATTGTTGCCATATCTCTGACTCTTGCTGTATGGATGAAAAAATCTGAATAAAACTATATTTCATTTGCTTATGCAAATTTGTGTCACTGCCTCTGTTTAGACTAAAGAGCTCATTCAGTTATTTAACATAGGCCAATTACATGCGGGATAATGCTCATAGCTATTTATCTATAGTTCAGAATTTCTGATTTCATCCTGCTGTCAAATATTTGGCATTTGTATTTATTAGCAAATATTGTCTATCAATTTGGGTTTATTTCTATTGGATCTGAGAATTATGCTGTATATTATTCCATGCTGTCCTGGATAAAAATAGCATGACATAAATTGACATGCTTAAATTGACATAACAGAGACTTAATACCAGTGGAGAACATTTAATTTATGATAATTTATGATAATATTATTATTATGGTATCTCCGTTAACAGTGTTACGGCTCCTTTAAGAAAACGGAACTGAGCGTCGGCTTTTGACGCTGCTGACTGAGGATGTGGGCAGGAAACGCCATGCAAGAAGGGAAAGGCAGCGATCACGCTTTTCAGCGCTGTTGCACAATACAGAGTGATCAAAATGCGCTGTAACTGGCGTCGCTAAATGTCTAGGAGCGGCTCTTCTCCTCGGATCCGTAAGCCGCTTTCAAACAAGAGCAGGCCCGGAGCATTGGCCGACACAGGAGTCGAGTATCCGCGGCAGTGGGCAGCCCTCCCAGACAGCTCGCACTGAAAACATTGGGCTGGTCGTCGGGTGGGAGCAGCAGGCTTCGTCGCGCTAAAGGAGGTATCTGCTGCGTTTCTGTCTAAAAACAATCATGAGGGAGTATAAAGTGGTAGTATTGGGTTCGGGAGGAGTCGGGAAGTCGGCACTTACGGTTCAGTTCGTGACAGGCTCTTTTATTGAGAAGTACGACCCCACCATAGAGGACTTCTACAGGAAGGAGATCGAGGTGGACTCCTCTCCGTCTGTGCTGGAGATCCTGGACACGGCTGGCACCGAGCAGTTCGCCTCCATGCGAGACCTGTACATCAAAAACGGCCAAGGCTTCATCCTGGTCTACAGCATGGTCAACCAGCAGAGCTTCCAGGATATCAAGCCCATGAGAGACCAGATTATCCGGGTGAAGAGGTACGAGAGGGTCCCAATGATCCTGGTGGGCAACAAGGTGGATCTGGAGGGGGAGAGAGAGGTGTCCTCAGGAGAGGGGAAAGCCCTGGCCCAGGACTGGAACTGCCCCTTTATGGAGACATCAGCCAAAAACAAAGGCTCTGTCGATGAACTTTTTGCAGAAATAGTGAGACAGATGAACTACTCCACTGTTCCCAGCGGTGGAGACCAGTGTTGTTCCTGCGTCCTGCTCTGAGCGCACAAACCTGACAGCACATGTACCCCAGGGGGTGAAAAGTTGTCCCTTTGTAAAAGTATTCTCACCTCACACTGCTGTCTTATTGTTGCACAGAAATCAACGATGACAACAATCGGTGATGTATCATAGTCTGGAAGTGTTTACATGATAAAGTACTTGAATGTTTTTTCTGGATTTTTTTATAGCTTTGTATTTGACACTTCTCTGGAAATGTGCCTCAAATATAGACTGTATAGAAAGATGGATTCTGTTAGCTGTCAAAGTCTGAAGCAATGCTGTAGGGCATCTTTTTAAATGGCAATATAGGTCTCATTCTACCAAACAAACAATTTTTTAATTGTCTTAATATCACCACATACAACAGGTATATGGCAGCTTATTTTCAGCTTAATTTTCTGATCATCATAATCAGTACATCTATCTTTACATACAGTCTATGGCTACAAAGGAACCCTTATTGTACAAACCTAAGAGACACCTATTTACTGTTTGTGTCCTCATAGAGCGGTGGATTTTGTCAAGTTGTACTGTCACTTATTTCGGGCTGGTTAATATTTCTTCTTTCTGCCTTGGAGATTTGTTTTTGGTGATAATGGGGGAGGTGTTACATGTGTCAAAACCTGGCAGTGCAGCAAGCGGCAGGGATTGGACACTTTTAATGGTGATTTTTGGGGAGGATCAAATCGGAGAGGCCTGTTTTTAGTATTTTTAAAACTCTCATATCACTCACCACTCGAGCCTTGCATAGGTTTTCTCTAACCCAGCCTCCCAGGGGTGTAGGTCCACCCACCCGTGTGCTTGTCTGTTTAAAGCTGTGGACCATGCCCCCACACATTTAAAAATACATTGTTTTTTTTCCCTGTTGCACTTATCTGATGACATTTCTCCTCAGAGTGCACAAGCAAAAAAAGAACCATAGTTGAATTGCTATCTATTGCTACATGGGGGGGTACACTAAGCCCTCATGTAAAGTGCCTTCCTATAAGAAAACTCCTGTGACTGTGCCAATAAATGAGCCCGGCTTCCTCTGCAGTGCGTCTCAATGGCAATCAGAACTTTTTTAGTGTCAAAGTGAACGGACAGACTTGTAAGAAAAGCTCTCAAGGTACTATTTATCAAGAATAACCAAGACTGGAGTTTATTTTGGATCACTGAATGGCAAGCCATGTCAATCTGTATTATCTAGGTTATTATTTTTTTCTTATTTTATAAAATGTGACCTTTTCAGTTACTGTAATTGTACCAATATCGTGGCAAATGTTCTGCCATGCATCTGTCGGTTAATTAACTTGTAATACAAAACACATTTTACATAAGCACTGTCTTCTGTGTTTCATCTATACCGGCCTGGGTTAAAAGGGCCTGCTTTATTTTGCAGCGTGAAAGGTATCAGAATTTGGAGTGGGATGTAAATTTAAGATTACTCAATTTTGTTTAAAAATGTAACATCCTAGCAAGAATATTATCTTTAAACTAATGTAAACTTAGTTCTGCTTGACTACCAAAATTGGGGACTTTTCCCTTCTTCGGCTGTTCAACATTAACCAGTCAAATGCTGACAAAATCATGTATTTGTTCTGTCCACAATATTTGGCACTTGTACTGACTTATGTGCAGCAGAGTGCTCCATGAGTAAATGCCCACTGTTTACATATGGATTCATGACATTCAATGCCAGCTCCTGATTGTTGAGTAAGAGATAGTGGCCTTAGCGGGCGATAAAACTCTCAGTGCAGTTGTTTGGCTTATGGGTAGGGTTTCCAGTAGAGTGTTTAGCCAGGGGAGAGCTGCTTCCCTCTGCATGTTTTCTAGAGCCCGCCAAGTGCAGCACACAGAGGCCTTTCTGTGGCCCCGGCCAAGTTCAATCCGCCGTACATACCCCTGCCTGGTATTCGTCCAATCAAGTGTCCCCCAGACCACAGAGATGCAATGTCAGATTACCAAATTTAGTCAAAGGGCTGGGTTTATCACTAATAATATACATAAGGAGCTAGTATGCCAGGAATTTTGGTCTTCACTGCTGAAAACCAACGATACATTCACTGCAAGTAAAACAAATGAACACTGAAGGAATCTTTTGTACCAATCACACATCTCCAGAAAATTCCCACCATCTCTGTGCTGTTAAGCACAGTGTTAGAAATCATTTGTAATTTAACACTGCAGTTGTAAAAGAAAAGGGAACAGAGTCTAGACAATGGATGACATTGAGAATTGTCACTCTGATAGTCAGATGTTACTGTTTTAAGCACTCCCCATTGTTGAACTTGTGGGTGTTTAAATTTAGATTGTATTTATTTGGATAGAGCTTAAAGTATTGGGATTTTGAACGGTGAATAAATAATGCCAGCAAACAAAACATGTATAAAGCTGACCTCATTGACAAAAGTAAGTAGAGGTTTGGAAAGTATTTTGTGTTTCCATTGAAAGTGACAATGGAAGTGTTCATGTAATAATGTCACTGCTTTCAGTGACAGTGCTTTGTACTTCAAGACTCAACAGTTATTTTGAATTCCTAATTGGCTTTTACTGCAATACAGAGTGTGTTCCGCTTCTGACAGACATTTATGTGAAACTAGTTTCTTGCCTGCAGGGCTCCTGTCATATGACCTGAAACTGACATCAGCAAGATTTTTCTCTACACAACCATTCAAGTCTTATTAGTTACACTATGAATAAGCATCGAGAGTTATTGTTATGTTGTGTTTTTAAAAAAAAATATTATTATTTTAGTATATGTGCCTTAGTTGTATAATTTAATTAATTGTATTTATTAGAGGAAGATCCCCATCGCATTGTTATGAATATTTATATTCCTGAATCATTGCTGATGAGTAGGTTAGGCAGTTAAGTTTTGATCAAAGCAGGTCAGCTCTCTTGTGTTGTGGTAATGGACCATGTGGTTAGTCCCAGCTCTGATGTTGTAATAGTAACTTCCCTGTAGTTGTAGTCTGCCCTTAGTACATGAGAGTTCATGTCAAAGGGACAACTTCAACTACACAACAATTAACTACTTTGTACTCTTAAAAAAACGTTTATGCCAAGGTAACAAGGTTGTACATGGGAAAACATTTCACCTGTGTTTTTAAAGTGACTGAAGATCATATGACACTAACTGACTCACCACAGCTGTTTATCTATCTGCTTATCCTATTTAGCGACAAACAGCCTGGAAATAGACTTCTGAGGACATCATTTAATTATGTCTAGAATTAAGTCAACACTAGCCTCTACAAGTTCACCAACTCAAAAGACACATCCTAGTTCATGTTCTTGGTAGACATTTGTGTGTCTATAATGACCAAAGCACATGAGTCCAATGCAGCGTGACAACACAGTCTGACTTCAGAACAGTGAACGCCTTTGCCATGAGAACTATGTGTAAGTCAACAAAGACTTTCTCGATTTTCTCACCTAGGTGATCTGATATGATCTATGTCTAACGTTGTTTCCTCATCAAAAACATATGGAGCTGTGTTCTGTTTCATTCACTCATGTTTAACACACAAATCCTCCATATTTTTGGCTGAGTTCTACTGTCAAACTGAAAACACCACCTTGAGATGCTAAGTGGTAATACATGAAGTGCTCCACTGTGTTTGTAAACTCCATACACCTTCACCAGAATCATTTGGATAATTTCAACCCTGGAATTTCCAAACTTTACTAAACAAAAGATAAAATGTACTCTTATTAGATCAAACTCTTGGTCTAATAATAACATATAACATTATAACATGGCTTAAAGCTTGCAAGAGTCAGTTTTGTGTGAGATAGGACCTTTAAAGATTTTGGTAAAGAATTATTTTTGCAGACAGGATCAGCAAATTTCTCAGCACTTAAGTGACTAGGCTCATTTGATTTGCTTTAAACCAGATGCCCTTTTTGGTACAATATTATTTTTATTGGGGACTGATGTACAGTTTTCAACACTATGATCTGGCAAGTAGAACTGGGAACAACTTTCATTCACATAAGATGTCAAATTATGCAAGAAATAATCATAGCAAATGCATTTTGTTTTGCTCAAAGTAAATTAGTGAGTCAGATAATATGCTTCCAATTGCTGCATTGGGAATAAGATGGTTGTTGGAGAAGCCAAAAATAAATGTACCCTGCTACTGCACTCCTTTTTTGTGTATAACTATTTCACTTTAAGCTATTCATTTAAGATTTGAGCTCTAGTAATTGTCCATGTAGGTCAATGGGATATTTGAATGGGTCCAATATGATTCATAGCCAAACCATAACTTGATAAGATAAGATAAGATAAGATCTAAGATACCATAAGATGTGTACAACTCAATATAAGCAGTGATGGGAAATATTTATAGATGTTTATAGATCACTAAATGCTGCTCTATAATGTATTTTGTAAAGTATTTTGGTCCAGTCAAAATAAATCAAAATACTGTAATCAGAACACTATTACATAGAGTTGCATTTAAATTATAGTGTAAAGATACAACATAGTATTAAATTATGCATTATCACTGACTGGAGAAGGAAAAATTCTTCTCATGGATTATCAGCAGTTTGTGATCAAGTACTGCAATGTATTCTTTTGATTTTGGAAAAAATAACTGCATCCTGAACTGTACCAGAATACAGTTCCTCAAAATTAGTATTCAGAATGTGTATTCTCTGCACATGTATTCAATTACTTCCCAGCACTGAATAAAAGTAACTAATATGTGCTTAAATGACATTGTACAACTTCAGTTTTAGACTTACAGCCGTAAACATGCATGCTAACAGCGCCACGTTATGAACTATAATTATTCTTTTTAGAATTACATTGCATAGGTCAACACTGCAATGTTAATATAATGATCAATCCTAACATAAAAAGGATAGATGAAACAGTTGTATAATCTCCATGGCGAACATTTCCCTGTCTGATACTGAGATTGCATTAGTGCGTGGCTGGCAGCAGGAGTCAGATTGTGTACGAGTGTGGATGAGTCACTGGTCTTGGAGGGAACAGTGAAGAAAAGGACTGAAATAGTCTAAACGCTGTGAGCCTGCTCTGAGTGGGAGGACACAGCAGACACAGCTCTCTCAGCTCCCCCACACAGTCACCAGCACATTAAGATATAACAGCAGCTTTTCATCAGGACGACTTAAGTAATAGATAGACTCCTTATATGCATAGAGAGAAAACTACGGACACACTCAGCAATTCATCCATTTACTGCAGGACGCTAATAGTGTTAACATAAATAGATTAAATGTTATGTACATATTATTGTTATGTATGTTTTAGTAATGCAGCTATCTAGTCTAATTACCTGGCTATATCAAATTAGTATTATTGTCATATTATCTTATATTATTTCATCATTGTCAAATAGAACATGTTTTGAGTTTCATGATTGGGCTGTCATACCATTTCAACCCAACAGGGGGAGTCCCAAGCTACTGCATCTGTCAGTGTTTAATTTCTAATGTGAACTTCACTCATCACACAAATAATTACCCAGATCTCATGAATAGTGCTAATGAGACAAAAAGGCATTTGGATAATAGATTTTCATGCTGATGATAGTTCAAAAATTCTAAGCTAAGTTGTGTATCAGTATCATTTGTTACGGTTTCAACCTTATCTAGTGATTGAAAGCCTATTATAAGATTATTATAGCCTGCCCTGCTGCCTCATATCAATAATGTGAGACTGGCACAGCACGTTGTGTGGGAGGACAGACGCAGAGGTGCTCTCATCAGCGGCTCTATGCAATCTTCTGTCTAAGAGCTTATACCCATTTAATATTCCCTCCACTTCTAGTGTTAAACGAAAAGAATGGGCCCATAGGTTGCCTACATTTAATACTAAAATACATTCCGAAAGTGCTGAAGGTTTGTGTTGTTTAATGCACAAAGTGTTTGTATTCAATTTGTCCACAAGATGGCAGACTAAGACAGGTCACAGACAATCCTAAAATGGGTCTAATGGACTATTTGTTTTCCCTCTTTAATGTTTAATGGACACTTTCTCCAGGAGTCATTATCTTGTTTTATAGACCTATAGCTCAAAAGCACTATTCTGGAATGGTGTTTCTTTTTCTGTTACATTTACATCGATTCCCACAAGCCCTTTTCGTAACCCATATAATATTTAAATTAACTTTAGGCCTACACATTTTTTGAGTACAGCTTTTTCTTTGCCTTACATCTTTTCTTACTTTTTTTTCTCTTTGGCTTTCTATATAGCTTATAACCTTTTTTTTTTTTTTTTTTTTTTTTACTTTTCTCTTCAGTGGTTTTCTGCTGGAGTCCTTGGAACAAGTATAAGGCCAGATAAATTATCCGCGTGTGT